ATTTGAGTGATGTTTTGTATATGATGTGAAGTAGGGGTCAAAATTCATTCTTTTGGATGTGGATATTTAATTGTTCCAGCACCAATTGGTGAAAAGATTATTCTTTTCCCTTTGAATTGTTTTGGCATCTTTGTCGATAAGTGTAAGATTGTATTTCTGGATTTTCAATTCTATTCTATTAATCTATGTCTAGACTTACACCAGTAAGTCTATGCCCTGACTACTGCATTTTGTAGTAAACATTGGAATCAAGAAATGCAAGTCCTCCAATGTAATGGACTGAATTGTGTCCCCCCCAAAATTCATATGTTGAAGCCTTAACTCCCAATGTGATGGTATTTGGAGATGGGGCCTTTGGGAGATGATCAGGTTTAGATGAGGTGAAGAGAGTAGGGCTTCATGACGGGATTAGCGCTGTATTTAAAAAGAGACCACAGATTTGTTCTCTCCCTCTCTCTCTTTCCCCATGTCAAGTGACAGGGAGAAGGGAGCCATGTGTAAGTCAGAAAGCGTTCTCACCAGAACCCAACCATACAAGCATCCTGGCCTCAGACTTCCAGACTCCAGAATTATCCTATACTAATAAAAGACAAACATGCAAATTGATCGTACTTTCGCTATGCCTTAAGCCATGCCCACCAGCCAATCAGAGCGACTATATGCAAATTAATCCAACCAAGATGGCGACCGGCAGCCACGGAGCTGGAGCAAGCAGGAGGCTTGCTTTGCTCCAGTGATGGAGGAAGCCAAGGTTCCCCGCCTGCCACAGCCCGGCTCTGAGCTCAATCTGAGCTCCACTGAAAGCAACAAGTTTCAATTATAGAAGATAAAAACCCCAGATACCTGCTTTCAGCCAGCCATGGCCACGGAGCTAGAGCGAGCAGGAGTGGGTTGCCCCCGGCGATGGAGGAAGCCAAGCTTTCCGCAGGCCTCCGCTAAAGGCAACAAAGCTTCAATTACAGAAGATAAATAAATCCCAGAATAAAAAAAGAAAAAGAAAAAAAGGAGAGGCTGGGAGATTCCGTCGCCAGGGTGCTTGGCCAGCCTGAAAACAGCTCTCAGCCCCTCACCCAGACTGGCCAGGCACCCCAGTGGGGATCCCCCACCCTAAAGGGGGTGTGGCCAGCCTGCAAACAGCCATCAGCCCCTCACCCAGGCTGGCCAAACCTCCATGGGGTGAGGGTCCCCACTGGGGTGGACATCCTCCGAGGGGTCCCACACTGCAAGAGGGCATAGGCCGGGCTGAGGGACCCCCCGAGTGCACACATTTTTGTGCACTGGGCCTCTAGTGAGAATATAAATTTCTGATGTTTAAGCCATCCAGTCCACGGCATTTTGTTATGGCAGCCTGAGCTGACTAAGGCAGAGGTCATAAGGGTGAGGCCCAAGTGTCATAGGACTGGCATTGATATAAAAAGAGGAAGAGAAACTGAGAGTGTGGGTGAACAGAGAAAAAGCCATGTGAGGACATAGTGTGAAGGCTGCAAGCTAATGAGAGAGGTCACACCAGAAATTCACCCTGCTGGCACCATAGTCTTGGACTTCCAGCCTCCAGAACTGTGAAAAGATAAACTTCTGTTGTTTAAAGCACTCAGTCAAGTCTGTGGTATTTTGTTGTGGCAGCCCTAACAGACTAATTCATCTAACTTTATTCTTCTTTTGCACAATGGTTTTTGGCTATTTTGGATACCTTGCATTTCCATATGAATTTTAGGCTCCACTTGTCAATTTCTACAAAAATGCCAGTTGGGATTTTGATAAGGATTGCACTGAATCTGCACATCAATTGGAGGCTCAGGAGTATTGCTATCTTAATAATATTAAGTCTCTTATCCAAGAGATTCTTTTCATTTACTTGTCTTCTTTAATTTCTTCCAACAGTGTTTATTAGCTTTCAGTAACCATGTCTTATAGTTCTTTTCTTAAAGTTATTCCCAAGTATTTTATTCTTTTTGATGTTATTGTAAATAAACTAGGGTGGGGTTTTTGTTTTTTGTTTTTTGTTTTTTTGGATTGTTCATTGTGAGCATACAGAAATATAATTGTTTTTTGTGTTTTGATAATGTATCCTGAAACCTTGCTGAACCTACTAGTTCTAATAGGTATATATTGGCTTCCTTAGAAATATATATATGTCATCTGACAAATGGAGATAGTTTTATTTCTTCATTTTTTTAATCTGGATGTGTTTTACCTTTATTTTTCTCCCCTAATTTCCCTGGCTAGAACCTTCAATACAATGTTGGCTAGAAAGGACATCCTTGTCTTGTTCCTGACCTTAGGAAGAAAGCATTAGCCTTTCACCATTAAATATATCAGCTGTTAGCTATTTCAGGTCAAAGAAATTCCCTGCTAATCCTAGTTTGTTTTGTTTTTCACCAGGAAAGAATGTTGTCAAATACTTATTCTGTATTGATTGAGATGATTTTTGTTTTGTTTTTTAAAATATTTTTATTGATGTCA